CACTAGACCATCATTCCCTGAAGATATCACCCCAAGGTTGGTACCCAACTTGAGTCTTGACCATGACCATCACTGCCTCTGGCAAGCCCCTAGGTATGGTGTCCTGAGAGCAGAAGGGCTAGGGGCTCAGGAGGCCCAAGATCCATCTCCCCATCTTGGTGACAGCTTGAGCCCTGTCAACGACTATAGCCATAGGCTTCTCCCTTCCTCTCCTTACCCAGGGCATTACACAAGAGCTCACAGGCAGAAAAACTTCATGCTTAATGCTCTGCTATTGTCATGCTGAGATTCCTCCTACTTTTATCTTTGTGTTCTGAAGTCAGGTGGGACAATGGAGCACACATGGGAGCGAGGGGACAGATGCAATACATGTGGTCTCTGTTCCTCGCCAAGCCATTCATTTTAAGTGCCCTGTGAGCATAGAATTCATGCACTGGGGTTCAGCGAGACAAAGCAGGTACAAGGTAAGTGTGTTATGTCTACAGCTGGGTAAGTAGGGTGCTGGCAGCTCTGAGAAGCTGCATGTTCCACTGGAGCCAGAACTTACCTCAAACATACAGGGGTGGGTAGGGGCCAGCGTTGTGGCACAGTGGGTTAAGCCATCACTTGGGAAAGAGTCCTGGCTGCTAACCTTCTGATGGTTACTTGTGGGGTGAACCAGTGGACGGGAGATCCCCCTCTCTCTTCACTTCCCTCTCTTTCTCCATCCCTCCCTGTCACTTGGCCTTAGAGAGAGAGACAGAGAAAGCTAAAGAAAGAAGAGAAGGAAGAAAGACAAGAAAGAGAAAAAAGGCAGGCAGGCAGGCAGGCAGGCAGGCAGATGAGCATTTGCCACAGAGGCTAAAATGCTGCTTAGGAGGCCCACATGCCACACTGGAGTGCCTGGGCTTGAATCCCAGCTCTGCTCCCAATTCCAGCTTCTTACTAATGGTATCCTGGGAGGCAGCACCTGATGAAGGCCCAAATACTTGGATTGCTGTCACCTGTGTGGGAAACCCACAATGAATTCTAGCCTCTGCTTTGTCCTGGCCAAGTCCTGGCAGTTGTGGGCAGTTGAGAAGTGAACCCAGGGGTAGACTATTTCTGTGTGTCTGCCTTCTGAACAAAGTCAAAATAAATAAAAATTTTTAAAGAAATCCAGCAACACAGAAAGCCACACATTCTAAGACACAAAAGCCCAAAGGGTCCCATTTATCAGATCCATCCTTACTTGGGTAACTTCCCTGTGTTAGCCAACTGCCTACACTGATGACACTTCCTTTTCCTTCCAGTCCTTTCTCACTTTCCAGTAAGCTGAAGGTAGAGCACTGGTAAAATGTGTGTGCAACAAGAAGTGAAATAATAATGGATGGGCTTGTACAGTGGGTGTTTCTACTGCTGTGGTAAGAACAAAGTACACATTGATGAAGGAACTATGAGATAGAAATTATGAGTCCACATAGAATTTTTCTTTAAAGATTTATTTGTTTATTTGAAAAAATGACAGAGAGACAGAGATCTATCATCTGCTGGTTCACTCCACAAATGCCTGAAAGAGGGGAGGGCCAAAGCCAGGAATCAGGAGCTTCACGTGGGCTTCCCACATGTGTGGCAGGAACCCAAGTACTCAAGCCATCATCTGTTGCCTCTCAGGCACATTAGCAGAAAGCTAGATCAGAATCATATAGTAGGGGCCAGCGCTGTGGCATAGAGGGTAAAGCCGCTACTTGCAGTGCTAGCATCCTGTGTGGGCACTGGTTCAAGTCCAGGCTGCTCTACTTCTGATCCAGCTCTCTGCTATGGCCTGGGAAAGTAGTAAAGGATGACCCAAGTCCTTGGGCCTCTGCGCCTGTGTGGGAGACCTGGAGGAGGCTCCTGGATCCTGCCTTTTGATGGGTGCAGCTCCAGCCGTTGCAGCCAATTGGGGATGTTAGACCCTCTGAGTGAGGATGCTAACACATCGAGAGGCACACCCCAAAGACTCAGAGTCCAGACCGGCTGATGCAAAAGCAAGAGGATTTATTCGGCGTCTGCGCAGACGGGACTCCTGAACTCGGGAGTCCAGAGAGCGCCCCCAGCACAGAGCCACACGGTTTATATACCCGCAGCGACCAATCAAAAGCACTATAGTGTCCATGCACACAGCAGTCCAATCCGTGAGCAGATCATGTGAAAGGCATGCATCTTCTGTCCAATCAGCTACGGGATCACATGGGAGGCATGCACACAGCAGTCCAATCCGTGAGCTGATCATGTGAAAGGCATGCGTCCTCTATCCAATCAGCTACGGGATCACATGGGAGGCATGCACCTCGTCGCCATTTTGTTGTTTACTTCTTCAGCAGTTCCTTTCCCTGTCAGCGTCATCTTGTTCACCCTGAGGGGGGACGACGTCTCGCTCCCTTCGTTCCCCTGGAGGGAGAGCAGCGTCCTGCTGAGTATTAGGAGGTACACAAACTGGGTTAGGTCTTAGCACAGCCAGGCACAAGTGTCGCAGCTAGCTAAGCATAGGATCCCTTATTTTTATAGCTGCACCTAATTTTAGCTCTGGGGGAAAAAGTTTAGGGCTATACTTTTTAAACTTTAATTTTATTTGGGGCAAAGGTGACTTCTTGTTTTTAATAGTGTTAGCTTAAGTCACTCCATCTTGGTTTGATTTTTAAAGTTCTTCAGGGAATGAGCCAGCGGATAGAAGACCAACCTCTCTCTCTCTCTCTCTCTACCTCTGACTCTCTACCTCTGGCTCTCTGTAACTCTGTCTTTCAAATAAATATTAAAAAAAAAAAAGAAGAAGAAGAAGAAGAAGAAAAGAAAGAAAGAATCATGGAGTACCCAGGACCTGAACCAGGTATTCCAATATGAGAGGTGGACATCCCAAGTGTTGGCTCAACCCACTGTGCCACAATGCTCACACCTTACACTAATTGTTTAATGATTAATTAATTTATTTATTTGAAAGAGTGATGTGGCATGGGTGGGAAGGATCTTCTATCCATTGGCTCATTCACCAAATGGTTGCAATGGCTGGGCTGGGTCAGGCCAAAGCCAGGATCCTGGAACCCTATCTGGACCTCCCATTTGAGTGGCAGGAGCCCAAATATTTGGGCCATTATTACTGCTTTCCCAGGTGCATTAGCAGGGAGCTGGTTTGGAAGTGGAGCAACCAGGACTTAAACCACCACTTCAATGTGGGATGTAGGGATCGAAAGCATTGGTTTAATCTGCTGCAGCACAATGCTAACCCCCACATAGTAATTAAATGCTCTTATATTTGTATTTAAAACTGGCTTTGGGGGCCGGTGCTGTGGCATAGCAGGTGAAGCCACTGTCTGCAGTGCCAGCATCCCATAGAGGCACTGGTTTGGGTCCCAGCTGCTCCTCTTCTGATCCAGCTCTCTGCTATGGCCTGGGAAAGAAGTGGAAGATGGCCCAAGTCCTTGGGCTCCTGCACCCACATGAGAGACCCGGAAGAAGCTCCAGGCTCCTAGCTTCAGATCGGCCCAGTTCTAGTAGTGGCAGGCATTTGGGGAGTAAACCAGTGGATGGAAGACCTCACTCTCTCTCTCTCTCTCTGCCTCTGCCTTTCTGTAACTCTGCCTTTCAAATAAATAAATATTTAAAAACAAACAAACTGGCTTTGCACAATACAGAAATCAATTATAAAATTCATGCTAACAATGCAATTTCTCCTTATGGAGGGTAACATTAATAGCAAATTTAAAGCACCATGACAAGTCAAGAGAGAAGGATTGCAGGAGAAAGGAAGAAAGCTTTATATTTTACTACCTTTAGCAGCATTTTTTTTCCCTGGTGTTCTAATCAAAAAACCGCAGGAATTATGTAGTCAGTCTTGTTAGGCTCCTGCCCTACCAGAGGAGTCTCAGTAGCTCTGTAGGAGGAGGGTCAGGGAAAGACTCTCCAGCTGCCCCCATCGCAGAGCAACAGAGCAGGGAGAAGGGAGAATAGCTCTGGCCCCATGTGCACTGCATCCAAGGCTGCCTCCAGACCCGGCGCCCACACTCAGGAGCCGCCACTTCCTGTAGTAAACACAGGCTTCATTACTCATGGAAGCAGGAAGTGGGGGAGGAGGAAGACCTTGTTCCGCTGCGGGGGCACATTTTCCAGCAGAAATAATGTTGTAAGTCCAGCTCTGAAGTCTCATTGTGGAGCTGCATATGGGCTACATGCGCTTCTAAGAGGAGCCCTGAGAACCTAAGCAGTACTTTTTCTTTTCTTTTAAATTTGAGAAGCAGATAAAGAGAGACAGGGAGAGAGTCCACATCCACTGGTTCACTCCCCCAAAGCCCTGCAACAGCAAGGGTTGGGTCAGGGCCCAAGTTGTCAGGAATGCAATCCAGGGCTCTCACATTGGTGGCAATTACTTGAGCCGGGATCACCAGTGACTCCCAGGGTCTCATTAGCAAGGAAGCAAAAGTTAGGAAACAGAGTTAGGAATCAAACCCAGCTATTGCAATGTGGGATGCAGGTATCTTAACCCCACCCCACTAGGATAAACGTGTGCTGCCCAGCCAGTGTTTCTAACATCATTTCACAGAGGAAAATGCATTTTCAGTTGCAAACAACCAAGTGAGAAATCCACTTTTGGGAACGTACCTCGGCCTTAAGCAGCACCCAGCTCAGAAATGCTGAGATGGCAGCAAAGGATGGCGTCTGCAGGACCCAGGTAAACAACTGCATGTCCATGGAAAGGTTACTAAGAATCTTGACTCCGCTTTGTCCCCTGGGCAGGAGGAAGAGCCCAGTCCTTCAGGTTTGCAGCTTGAAGAACTTGCCTGCAGGTTGACTGGTTCCTGGCAACCCACCAACCAAGGCCAAGAGATGATGCACAGCAAACCAGACACCCAAGGAGCTGTGCTGAGTGGACTAATCATTCCCCCAGGCTGGCGTTCTCTGACGATGGCTGCGATCGTCTGTGTTTTCTTCAATGTAAACTCTAGTGTCAAGCACAGTGCCTGAATGTGGCGGCTTCTCAATAAATGTTTGTTGAAAATGAATTTTTCATCGCTTCTCTGCCTTTTGGCTAAGATCAAGTGTAGTATCTGTTCTTATCAGTTTAATATCTGATACGTCCTCTATCCGAGAACAAAAAAAAAAAAAAAAAAAGAAAGAAAGAAAATGAAGTTTTCAGGGATATTCTCACTGTCCACAATGCCATGAATTTCACAAAGGTGAGCAGAGATTTCTTCCAAATTTCCACTTAATTTTTAAGATTTATTTTACTTATTTGATAGGCAGAGAGAGTGAGAGAGAGAGAGAGAGAGAGAATGAGCAGAAGCACTATCTTCCATGTGCTGGTTAACTCCACAAATGGCCACAATGGCCAGGGCTAAGCAAAGCCAAACCTGGAACTCCATCTTGGTCTCTCATATGGATGGCAGGGATCCAAGTACTTGAGCCATCTTCTGCTGCCTTCCCAGGCACATTATCAGGGAGACAGATCAGAAGCAGAGCAGCCAGGACCTGACCTGGTGTTCCGATATGGAATGCCAACATTGCAAGTGGTGGCTTAACCCACTGTGCAACAGTACCAGCCCCTTAATTTTGTTTTTAAAGCAACTTCCTCCTAGGGAATTTTTTTGGTTATTTTAGTTGACCCTTTCTATGACCTGGATTACCTACTAGAACCTTTTTCATAAGATTTTTCTGGGCAGAATTAAAGGTACAATTCCAGGTATAGCTTCATTATTGTTTTGTCAGATGTAGGACACAATAGTGCTTTCAATTCTGTTTTTCATTTTCTTAGCAAAGAGGCCTAGCATTTTATTGTCACATGACTTTAGAAAACAGTCAACAATAACACGTGGTTGTTTTTCTTAGAATAAAAACATCACTCTGAGCCCCTGTTCTTTTAAAGGAACTTCAGCCTTACAACGTTAAATGCATTATCCCAAATCAGTACAGAATGAAACTGATTTGCTATAGTTCTGTCCACTCATACTGCTTTTAAAAAAAATTATTTATTTATTTGAGTGGCAGAGTTGCAGACACAGAGAGGGAGAGACAGAGAGAAAGGTCTTCTGTCCGCTGGTTTTACTCCCCAAATGCCACAACAGCCAGAGCTGGGCCAAACAGAAACCAGGAGCCAGGAGCCAGGAGCCAGAAGCTTCAGCTGGGTCTCCCACACAGGTGCAGGGGCCCAAGTATTTAGGCCATCTTCCACTGCTTTCCCAGGCTATAAGCAGAGAGCTGGACTGAAAGAGGAGCAGCCAGGACATGAGCCGGCACCCATATGGAATGCTGGTTCCACAGGCAGAGGCTTAGCCTACTATGCCACATCGCCAGCCCTCCACTCACACTGCTTTGTGCAATGAATCTTTTCTTCAGTTTAGATCCATCTGTTTGGTGTTTACCACCCTAGACAGCCTAAGGGTGTCTCAGCCCAGTGACTGCATGAGTTCATTTTCATACAGTCCGTTTTGTTTTTTTTTTAAAGATTTATTTATTTGTTTGAAAGACAGAGTTACAGAAAGGGAAGTAGAGCAGTGGGAATCTAACCAGCACCCATGAGATGCCAGCACTGCAGGTGGTGGCTTTGTCTGCTATGCCACAGTGCAGCCTCACAGGCCATTTTAAATAAGACAAATCACCCGGCAGTGATCCTGAGAGCTTCACTCTGAAATCAGAAGAATCCATCTGGGGACTGGCATTATGGCACAGAGTTAAGCCACTTGCAATGCCAGCATCCCAAGTGAGTGGCGATTCAAGTCCTAGCTGCTCCACTTCCAATCCAGTATCCCTGTTACTGCACCTAAGAAAGCCACAGAAGTGGAAAATTAGAAATAGAGTGCCCCCCCACTCACCACCCCCCACCACCTCTCTCTCTGCAGCTCTGCTTTTCAAATAAAATCTCTCAAAAATATCCATCTGGCGTCTTGGCATCAACAGTAGTCAGCAGACCTGGAAAATGACTCTTTTTGCCACTTACTAATTGTTTGACTCCAGGGAAGTCATTCAATCTCATCTTTCAAATGGTATAAATAACACCTGCCTCATCTCCCTCACAGGGATGGTCCAAGGAGTGCATGAAATAATAATGTGAGTGAAAGCACTCTGAACACATCAACCAATGCATAAATAAGGGCCCTCCAGAAGCTTGCCTATTTAAACCATGGTTTCCTGAAGCTAAGCCAAATCTCTTTCATTCACTCAATTCAACAGTTGTTCTTTGAGTATCTACTTTATCAAAGACAGAACTTCCCCTTCTCTTTCTTGGCAACTTAGTTGGGAAGCTGTGCTTGTTGTTGTTGTTGTTGTTGTTGTTGTTTCTATTTTTAATGTCTAATGTGTAGATTGGTAGAAATCTTTTTTAACAGTATTGAGTTCACTGTTTCCAGGCTTGTTTATTTCTCAAAGGATATGATCAAACAGTGAAACATGAGACATGCTCAAACACGCTGCTGCAGAGAATGAAGGCCAATCCAGCAACAATCACCATCTGCATCTCTCTGCAGAAAGCAGGAGAAACAGAGGGAAAGCCCAGAGGGAGGTACAGCCGAGGGGAAGGGAGAAGCGGATCCGGAGCAACTATATATAACCTCTCAGATCCCAAAAACCAGTAGAACAATAAATAGATTTACTTCCATAAAAGCAGCTCACGGCACTCTCATTTAATTTAGCCTGTGGTCCATTCCAGCAAAGAAAGATGTGCTTCCCCTTTGAGAAGCCTCTGGTGACGCTTTACTGTTTCCAAAAGAGAAAGACAAGACAAAGCATTCTTGGGGGAAAGGCAAAGTCTGGAAGAGGATTCAGCTGTACAGCAGGTTATGAAGGAACGAAAGGGAAGAGATTACAAGGGCTGTTTTCCTCCTCCTCCCTCTGTGACTCAGCGATGAGTCCTAAAAATAATCTTCATCCCAGTATGGGGAAGCTGAGGAAAGACTCACACCTCCATGTTCCAAGTTTCAGGATGGCCTTGGAGAGGAAAGGAATGAAAGCAAGAGGGAAATGGGAAACAGCAACTCTGAAAGGTAATCCGAAAGAGACTCCACCTGCCCAAAGCCAGTCCAGCTGGGATGAAACAGGCGTTTTCCATTGTAGCCTGGCTCCAAAGGCTTACACATGAGACTGCTCAGTAAGGAGGAAGCTCCCACCTGCCTTCTCAGGCTTATCTCCCACCACACCTCTTCTGGTGATCATATTTTTACTCACTCACATGAATTTTCATCTTTTCAACACCAGGCTCGCTTCTTTGTATGAACAGCAGGAGGCTCTTTTTCAGATGTTTCTTCAATCAAAACTTACGTAATTCTGTTCTTTTCTTCCTTTTTTTTTTTGTTAAAGTCATGTTGGTTTTTAATTTTTTTTAAGATTTATTTATTTGGGGGTGCAGGGAGGCAGAGAAAGAGGGGGAAAAAGGAATATCTCTCATCTCCCGGTTCACTCCCCAAATGGGCCCAAAAGCCAGGTCTGGGCCAGGCTGAAGCCAGGAGCCAAAAACTCCGTCAGAATCGCCCACAAGGATGACAGGGGCCCAAGGGCTTGGGCCATCCTCTGTGGCTTTTCTAGGCCCATTAGAAGGAAGCTGGATGGGAAGTAGAGCAGCCAGGATGGGAACCAGCACTCAGCTATGGGATGCTGGTGTCACAAGTGGTGGCCCAACCTGCTATGCCACAATGCCAAACTCCTGCTCATTTTTTTTAAAGCTTTGTATTCTGAAAGTACTTTCAGCTTACAGAAAAATTGCACACAGAGGATAATGTGTTTTCACCTGAACAAATTGAGAGTGATTTGCTGGCATGATCTCTGTAATGGACGTGCAACTGCACTGTCCTGATCCCCCTTCAAGGCAGGACCTGTTGTCCAGCTGTACAACCTGTCAGTTACCATTTCCTGCAAGGTTTCCTCATCTGCGGATGCATCTTCCCTGGGTGGTCCAAATCCAGTGGACAATGGGGGCAAAGACAGAAAGGCACTGGCTCTTTTGGTCCTGTGTGGGACAACCATGATGAACCATTTCTGCTCAAGAACTTCCTGCATGGGGTTAACTGAGGTTATCAGCCTGCATCTCAGGTCAGCTTCTCCCTTGGCCCAACCTATTTCCTTCCTTTCTCATCCACAGATGTTGATCCCAAGAGCTCTCCCTAGCAAATATCCTGAACACTGAAATCTGTCTCAGGCTTCGCCTCCTGGAAAAGCCAAACAGTTGGAGAGAGGTCTGAGAAAGCTGAGATAAGATGGGGCTTGAGAGCTGGACTGCTCTCCAGTCAGCTGGTAGGAAGGACCATGCCACTGGTGGAGCACAGACAGCCTTTGGCATGGGCTATTAAGACTTCCATCTATGGTGAACTGGGATGGTGTACCAGTAGAAGAGAATGTATTAGCTGGTGCAATATATAATCAGAAGCAGGAACTATAAAGACAGTGGGATTGGATGTTTATTGGTTGGTTTTACTAAAACTCTAGGAAAAGAAACCAAAACACTGACAGAGTGCTTTGCAGGCAACTAAGAGTCCAGGATGAAAACCAGAGACCAGAGGGTCTCTAATAACACATAAGGAGGCTTTCAGAGCCTGGGGTGGAAGGCCAAGAAAGCTGAGGACAGAGACCCAGGCCAGATCATCGGTGTAGCTATGCTTCAAAGAAAGTGAAGCTACCAATCAAATTAGATTCCCTATGCCAAACACAGAGCCCTGGTTGGGGAAGAATGAGACCCTAACATGTGGGATAGAGACATCTGGGTTAATGCCTGTCAAAATCTTTTATTTCCAGGCTCCTCTTGACCCTCTTTGCCTGCAGAAGTGAGCTGTTCTTTCCTACTCAGAGCTTATCGTACCTGAGGATAAGCAAAGGCCTCTCTCCTACAGGACAGCAGGTGACCCCTAAGGATCAGCCCCCACCTTCCTGCATGTCCACCACAACAAACCTACAACTAGGGTTTCAGGTACAGCCTAATGAAGGTAAGGCATGCTAGGCCTGATTGGAGGAATAGAAACCACACCCCAAGGGGATAAAACTATCTAGTTCACATGGACTACAGGAGTAGGCTTGGGACAAGATTCTAAGGATGCTTGATCATGGAGGATAGAACCTAAGATTAGAGCAAAGCTGGGAGTACTCAACTGTCGCTCCCCCTCTTCGTGGAGGAACGACACAGGACCCTGCGCTGTTCTTTTGTCTGCTCGGCCCTCCCCGGGTTTGCTGCTGGTTCTTCCCGGGTTGGCTACCGTCCCTTCCACCTCCGTGG